TCTTGCTGCCGCCTGGAACTGACATTCCGAAATTGGCTCTCCCTCCCCCCAATTATTGTGGCAAGCTGAAAAGCAGCAAGGGCTGCGACAGCAAAATCATGCTTTGAAGTTGACACCATCACTGTCATAAGACCGACAACAAAACTGTTTTTAGGTGGTTGGAAAGAATTCCAGAAACCACTCCTGGTATGCTTGCTTTAACCTCTTTCCATTCTCTTTTGTATTGTGACTTCTTTTTCAGCTTTGGAAAGTCCTTTGTTGTAGCACTAAAGAGAAGCAAAATCACATGGACATTTCCAGATTGGTTCCAGAGAGCAAAAGTGATCCTTTAAAAATCAGGTGTTTTTTTTTCCCCCCCAAACTTGGCAACTTGAAGATGTGTGGACATAAATTGCCAAGTTTGAAAATTACTGATTTAAATTAAGCAAACAACTATGCAATGATTCTCTGTATTCCAACAGCCCAGGAGAATATAGACAATTGACTTAGGTATCCACTAAGAGATGCTTTTGCAACAGAATCATTTTAATTTTGTGGATAATTCAAAAAATCCATTGTCTCTCTTTCTAATGCAACATTTTCTAAGTACCCTATCATAGATGAAAAATTACACTTGGCAGGTACAGGTATTTAACTTTTTAAATTGTAAGTAAGTGAGAGCACACAGTGATAATCAGAGGCTTGAGAGAAAGCTGTGAAAATGCTAAAGGCTAAATGGCCCATCTGTTTTCTTCTAGCTTCTACATCTTTTTATTTCTTCCCCCAAGTGGGATTTCACACAGATATAAATGGATAAGCAGTACTCCTTTTTGAAGTGACCATACACCCTTACTATATTTTTCACTGATGCTTAAAATTGAATGTATAACACCTGCATTCCAAACCAGTGTAATTAAGAGCAGAGGTGGCGCAGTGGTTAAAGAGCAGTACTGCAGCTATTTCAGCTGACTGCTAGTTCAGCAGATCAGCGGTTCAAATCTCACCAGCTCAAGGTTGACTCAGCCTTCCATCCTTCCGAGGTGGGTAAAATGAGGACCCAGATTGTTGGGGGCAATATGCTATTTAGTATACTGTCTTTGGTGTAAGCCGCCCAGAGTCTTCGGAGAGTGGGCGGCATAGAAATATGAAAAATAAAATAAAAATGCAGATTTAATATTGCTTATTAAAAGTGTGATTCCTTTATCATTTTTAAACAAGATAAATATATATTTGAGATAGAAATTAAAACATGCCATTACATATCCAATTTAATGTCCAAAATATTTGATCAAATTTTCAGTGATTTTGTGGAATGACTTTCTAATCGAATACAGTAATTTACAACCAACTAATGCTTAGAATCGAAGAGTTGCAACCAGGGGTGAAATGCTCCCGGTTCGGACCGGCTCGGGCGAGTAGGTAGCGATGCTGGCGGGCAGTTCGGAGAACCGGTAGCAAAAATCCCTGCCCCCGCCCTCCATGCCCAGCTGAGCCCCGCGATCATCAGAGCCTTTTTTCCTTTTAAATGGCTCTGACCAGCCAAGCTCTGACATCCCAGCTTAGTTGCCTGCTAATCAGGCAACTCAGCTTGGATCGCCAGAGCCATGTAAAAGAAAAAAAGTTTCTTTTTTTCTCCCCCCCCCGCCTCCAGCTTGCTTACCTTAGCTGCTGATTGCATGACAATCGCAATCCATGCATCAGCAAGCAACTGAATGTCCCTGCCTGCAATCAAGCTCATTGGTGAGCAGCTCTTTCTGCCTGCCTGCCTTCCTGCCTAGATTTGTGGACTTCAACTCCCAGCAAAGCTGGCTGAGGAATTCTGGGAGTTGAAATCCACAAGTCTTAAAGTTGCCAAGGTTGGAGACCCCTGTTCTATTGGGTAGGTTTTTTTCCCCTTTGGGAACTTTAAAAAAAATAGTTAATTGGGGTTTTTTTAGTTGTTCTTTTTTTAGACCTAGCCATTTAAAGTTTAGGAAGTTTTAAATTTAGCTGCTTTTATATAAAAATAAAAATAAAATAAAATAATATTAGTGCAGCTTTCTGAGATTTAGTGTGTTTCTGTAGTGTTTCACTAACTACACAAACACACAAAATCTCACAAAGCTGTATGTGGAATTTTGTGTGTGTAAAGTGTGAAAGTTGGTTTTGGGGGCTTTTTGTGGCTGTGTGAGGTTCCTGCTTGTTGCGGGGCCATTTTGAGTCTAGCACAGCTGCTTTTACATTGTGGGTGAGCCAGTTGTGTTGTGTTGTGTTTTGTAGGTTAAAAAAGAGCAAAGAAGTGACATTGACTTGGCCATGCCCACCCAGTCACCTTACCACCAAGCCCCGCCCACTAATTAAGCCACGCCCACAGAACTGGTAGCAAAAAAATTTAGATTTCACCCCTGGTTTCAACGGTAGCACAAATGTACCTTCTTACCTCTTTGCATTGGTCTTAATATATGCAGTACAACACTTCTTAGCTTCTTCATTTAAAACATCATAGCACCAATTCCCAAGTGAATGACTGGAAATAGAAAATCCTAAATAGATAGTTGAAGAAAATTTAAATCCTACTCACAACACAATAAAAAATATATCTGTGCAAATTGTTGGATAATTTTACTTATTTTATAACATGTAAGCTGCCTAGAGTCACCTCACAGGGGGGATGGGTAGCATAAAAATTTAATAAATAAATAAAAGGTATTTGCCTGCATATGCATTTTATTTTCTAAAAACATATTTGGACCTCCGCCTAATAGTTGTATTTATAAAGGGAAGTTAATCCTAGGTAGTTAATTCCAGATATTAGACTGCATGAATCAGTATTTTTTCCAAGACTAATTTAACTTGTGAACTTAACAAATATACTGTAAACAAATAATATAAACAAATTTATAAATATAGAATCTGTAAAATAAGAAGTCTAGATGTTGCCAGGGAGGTATTGAACCAGAATTATTGTTATGGCTTTTGATTCCATGTTACATTGGTGATTAATAGTGGAAGCATTAATTAGTTAAACTGGTACATATATTTTTTCTGTTTGGAGATATATATAGCTGTTAAGTCAGGGGTGTCAGACTTGTGGCGTCACAGGATCACATGATGTATTGGGACTTTTTTCCTCTTTGCTAAACCAGGCGGGGGTGGGGCCAGTACATGGTGCATCTGGCCCACGGGCTGCGAGTTTGACACCCCTGTGTTAAGTAAATTATGTTACTCTTTCTCATTAGGGTGTAGTTCTTTTTTAATAACAGACTTCTTTAATGACTATTCACAGTTACTATGATGAAAAAGTTACTATGATGAAAAAGTTATAAAAAAGTAACTTTTATCTACAACCTTCAAAGGTCTAGAAAGTAAAGGAAAGCTGAAGATAATAATCACAGTTACAGTTTCACTTAACAACCACTTCACTTAATGACCAAGTTGCCAGTTACAATTGCAATTGATAAATTAATAACATGGTTGTTAAGTGAATCTGGCTTCCCCATTGACTTGTCAGAAGATCGCGAATAGTGACCACATGACCCTGGGACAGAGCAAAATTCATAAATATGAACCAGTTAACAAACACTTGAATTTTGATTACATGATCATGGGGATGTTTCAAGTCATACCTATGAAAAATGGTCCTAAGTCACATTTTTCAGTGCTGTTGTAATGTTGAACAGTCTCTAAACCAGTGGGTCTCAACCTTCCTAATGCCGCGACCCTTTAATACAGTTCCTCATGTTGTGGTGACCCCCAACCATAAAATTATTCCTAAAACCATTGAAAATATGTGTTTTCCAATGGTCTTAGGCGACCCCTGTGAAAGGGTTGTTCGACCCCCAAAGGGGTCCTGACCCACAGGTTGAGAACCACTGCTCTAAACAAACTGTTTTAAGTTGAGAACTCTCTGTAATTCATATCAAAAGCTATGTAAAAATAGGGCAAAAATAAGAGGCCAGAACCTTCCTTTGAAATGTTTCCAGGTTTATTACTGGATAATGACCACATAGAATCCATTCTGCATCTCCATCTCCATGTGGTGTAGACTTAACATTGCAGGTTAATGAGAAAAATACAAAACAACAACTATTTTTCCATTCTTTCCGCAAATCATTACGATTTGTCCTCCAAGGTGACTCAAAATAATTCAAACAAACTCAGCTAGTGTCTTCAGTATTCAAATGTGGGAGGGTATTAGAAATTAGAAGATAAAAGATTATTGTTATGTAAAAATAAATGATGAAAGATTATTATACATATAAGCAAGTTGTCAACTCACGAAGCATTCCTGACCTGCTGTCGAGTTGCCATAGGCAGTGGGATGGGGAATCAAGCCTTGCAGCTGCATCGAGGAACATGCATTTCAGTCAAAACAAAGCACATTCCAGCTGGCAACGTCAAGGTCATCTCCAGGGGGACCCATAGTGGCCAGAGGGAGTGACTTCTACAACCCCCGAAATTGCTTCATTGGGGAATGTGACTGATGACACACCTTGGGGGAGGAGGAAACAGGGTCAGAGCCGAGGCGCAAATTAAGTGAGGTCAGAGTTGGCTTCACTTGGTTCGTGCCAACATGAATTTGCTAATAAATAACTAGATTTCTTTTGAAGCTTGGCTTAAAGCTCATGATTTAATTAGGGCATCGATCGGAACCCTGACACAAATATTATCATTATTATGATCATTATTGCTATTAGTATTAGCACAACTATTATTATTTTGCAAAAGTGAATGGACTCAGCCAATACACTGTTGACTAAGCACTTCTGTATAATAACGGAAAAATCTATAAATAAAAATTTAAAAAGACAAATTTGGGAGGGTATTGATCTTTGAAGAAGCAAATTGGTTATTGTGAGAAAATTTTAACTATAGCCAAATAAAATGGATTTAGAAAACAAACAAACCCTATTCTAACGTGATGCACTGCTGCCTAAACGTACAGCAAAACATGAGTGATCTGCAAAGGGAGAGAGGCAATTATTTCTGTATAAATGGAGGCTGAAGCCTTCACCATTATTCTTCCCTTTTCTTTCCGACAGGCGGAACCCTCTACACTTCCATCTCATTGCAGACGCCATTGCCAAACAGATCCTGGCAACACTTTTCCAGACGTGGATGGTCCCTGCAGTGCGCATAAACTTCTATGATGCTGATGAGCTGAAGGTAAAATATAATCCAAAAATTGGTTCATGTTGAGATGTCCTTTATGTAATTACATAAATGTTAAAAACAGGAAAGAAATCCTTTTGGCTCAGAGATATAATCTGAATTTGTCCAGCTACAATTTCCTGAAATTTCCTGAGTTAAGCAGCTCTATGCTTTGCCTGCTGTATGCAACCAACTTAAAAACCTATGCCTACACTTTTTAACATTTAACAATTCAATACCAAACTTAGAAATTTAGACAAAATTGTGCAGTATGGGAATTTGTTCATTGAAAAAACACATTGCATTTCTAAAACAATTTTTCCTGCAAAAAAAAAATGCATTATAAAATGTCAGTGTGTACTGGCATACCTGTTCTGTCCCAGCTCTGGATTCCCGAGGATATTGACACACACCAACGGTCCTTATCAAATTTTATTAAGTAGCAAGAATAAACCAAAGTCCGGCAAAGGTTGGCAACCAGCCCAGAAAACAAAATACGATAAGACTTTTCCAAAAATGCTCTGATGATAATTACAAGTTGTTTCCAGCAAGAAACTTACTAACCGTGTGTGACTTAAATAGGCTAAGGGAGTGGCCAATTATCCTCAAGCCTTACTCTCGAGGAGACCTCCTCCTCCTGAGTAGCCACTTCTGCCTTTTGGCAGCCCTGCGTGCTCGAGCATTGAGAAGAGGCTCCTCCACTTTACTCTCTCCACTTGAAGGAGCCTCTGGAGGTTCTGAAGGCCCTAGGTGAGGCTCTGCCTCTGGCACCACATCCTCTCCAGCCTCCGATGTGAGCACCGGCTGCGCAGGCTGCTGGCGTGACACCACACCAGCCTCCTCGTCTGGATCAGCCACGATCTGCGCAGGCCGCTGGCGGGCCACAGCAATACCATAAAAGCCTTCCATATACAATAAACTCTTTCCTAGCTAAAAGTCTGTAGAGATTCTCAGAGATCCAGATCCTGGTTGTCCCAAAGGTGCTTTTTCAGGAGACAACTGGACTTTCTTGTTTTTTTCTTTGAAGACGTTTCGCTTTTCATCCAAGAAACTTTTTCAGCTCTGACAGGATTCCATTCCCCACTTGTGAAACTGAAAAAATGCATGATTTATGATCAGTAGTCCCACATGTTCTGTGTGATATATTATAGAGACAGACAGATAGACAGACGTATACAATAGACCCGAATTCAAATTCCCAGACATGAAGATTGCTGGATAAATTTGGACTAATAATTGGTTTTCAACCAAATCTACATTGTTGTTATAAGTAGAAAATAAAGGCAATTTCAGGAATGTCATCATGCTCTTGGGGGACATGATGACATCTTTTGAAATGTACTATAAACTATTTTATCTAACAAGGATATAGAAGATATAAGCATGTATGCTAGGTTACTTTTCATTGCTAATATAGTTTTTCCATATTACCATACTTGCCTCCATTTTCCATTAAAGGTTTGCTTTTTAAAAAAAAAATCATATTTTTATCTGAAAGCAGCAAGTCCTTTTTATTTCTGGCAGTCTCAGATGTGCTTAGAATTGCAACGTTAAATTAGATTGTGACTATTTACAGGTGGATTGGAAGTACAGAAAGAATGTCATCCTATGAAACTGTTGAAAATACTTTGACATCTAAAGGCTGTGATAGTAATTTTCATGGCATATCAAATCAATGTCTTGATTAAGATCCTGTAAAAAGCTAAAAACATATTTAGCAAATTGCTGTACTAATTTCCAAGCCACTCCACACATTAGAAGGAAGTGAAAACAGAATGTAATTTGAGAAAGTGGCAAAGGAAAGGATTATCTGTCAGAAAATACTCTGATCTTTTTTAAAAAAAACTAAATTTCAGTTTAGTTTGTATATTAAGCAATGAGCAAATATTGACACAATTCATCTTCCTACTGAAAACTACAGTTTGAAGAAAACTGGAACTTAATATGGAATTAATAGATCAAAATTATTTAATTAAGATGGAATGGAATCCAAGGTAGTTGTTGTGATTAGAATATTTACTTCTTTAATAATCTTTCGTTGTCTTGTAAGAGTTTCCCAGAATGATTTTCTATCCAGGAAATAGGATTAGCTTCTGTTTAAGTTCACATTAGAAAAGATTTTTGCAGATAGTTTTCTTGGCTTCAACATGTATAACATATTTTGCTTTCTTCCAGGTGTATTAGATTACAGTACCCATTGCTTTCAAATGGCATGATTGGCCATGCTAGTTCAGGTAGAGAAAAGCTGTAATCCAAAGTATTTGAAGCATAGCCTATTAGGAAGGGCATTGCCCAGTTAATATCTTATCCAGAAAATGAATACAAAATCGTGTTTATAAGAATCTGGGCCTTGGACTAGATTCTCAGGTAAATCATTTGATGCTTTGTGCATGGAAAATAAAATAATAAAGAAAGCAAAATGTAGGATGTATATTTGAACACAATTGTCAAGAATTAATACATAAGAGTTCTTGCTTGCTTTTGGCTTTAGCACTAGTTGCAGTTACTATGGACATTTTTATTCCCAAAGGACTTCTGGACAATGGTCTGAATACAAATCATTTGAACCTTTGTTGAGAGAAGAAGCCCAGGGAAGGTCACCTTGATCAGATAACTTGATAAATCTATCTTGGCAATAGTCATAGAATCCTCAGAATTTGAGATTCCTAGTTTACGAATATAAATTAATCCTGAACTACTTTGGATTTCCAAATCGATTATGGATCAAATGCTAAGACATCTTACCAGTAACTTTTAACATAATTCCTTAAAAACACTTTATATGCCTTTGATCCATTGCAAATGTCTACTAGCATGGAACTGTAAAGATTGAGTCTTGCAAGCTTTCTGTCTGACCATCATTATCAGCAATATGGTAATAATAAGCCTACCAATGATTCTGTAAAAGTAAAAACCTTGTCAAATTAATGCGATCACCCTTGATTTAAAAAAATCAGGTAGTATATCAATGAATTTTTTTTTTAGCCACTAGGGTTTGCGTAAGATACTTTACCATAATTATTTTAATTGTAGATTGTTATGCTCAGCTGAAGATCCCTATCTGATTCAGTATTGCAATAAACAAATAAAATATTGTATCCCCCCTTTTTAAACAGATTGTTATAGTTTCTTACCTGAAATTCAGTCATATTCAGTCAATATAGTTGATTATCTTAATGCAAATACTTGGATAGGCTTGGTGAACATTGAAAAGTTACTTTCCCTTTTCAAAGACTTATAAAATTAAGTGGAATATGTTTGTAATTACAGATTTTTTTTCTTCTTAATGTTTTTATTTATTGTGATGTTCTTCCCTTTTTTCTTTGTATGTGATGAATTGTTCACTTCATTTCAAATACATTATTTTTTAAAAAAATCTTAAAATCAAAGTTATTTTTTCTCTTTAATACTCATAAATCCTCCAAATCTTTGGTTTTAATCTTTTCTAATCATATCTGAAATATTATCTTTGATCTGTTTCTTGATCATTTAAGAAAGAATTCAGTTTTGAGTTTTAAACAACTTTCTTGCCTCTCTTAATTTATTATTGTCTCTTGTTTTGTTTAATACTTTATTTGCTCAGGTTCATTTTCTATTCAAATTGTTGTGTGCATAATGTTCTATTAGCTACATTTTTCCCACTTAAACTTGGTTGCCTTTTGTTTTGCTTTTACTTCTTTGGCTTTTGTACTGTATGTACATCATATAGAAATGTTAAGTTCTCATTATACTTTTATATAGAAGTAATTTTGTACCTGTTTGTATGTAATTTTTATTTGAGTTTAGCGTGTTCCCTTTTCCTGGTCTCATCTTCCATCTGCAGACTGTTTTTATTTTGTGGCAGGAAGGTCAGTCTTCTGTTCATTAACATTTGGGCAGGAGATGTCTTACCCTCAGCTAGAGACTTCATCTATTCAGGTGCCTTATGGCCAGTTTCCATGATCAGTACCTTAATGGGATTTTTCACATTGTGCCACAAAGCTTTTTCCTTTTAAGCATAATTGGATTGTGTTAGAAACAGTGAGTTTTCTGCTTTTTAGCAGCTAATTAGTTATCACTTTTGGCAATAGTACTCTTCTTATTCCAGAATGCAGTCCATTTGTTGTGTCAGTTTCAAAATATCAGTCTAGAGAATCTTATTATGATTTTTTTTTTCATTTTTTGGAAGACTCCTTCCAAATTAATTACAATCTTTCCCTGAGTAGTTCCCTTGGTGATGCCATCATTTATTCTGGTCTTACAACTAGTCAATCATCTTCATAATAGCTTTCTACCTCTTCTTTACAGTTCGGGGTTTCCTATTATTCCATTTTTATGATCTTGTTTGCATCTGCAGCCCAATGTAAATATAATTATCACCCCAATGTGCATCCTATTTGGGTTTAATTTCAAATCTCTGTCCTTCTCTTTTTTTAATATTATTTTCAGGATCTCTTTCAGTACAGTATCATCATTAGTGATTTTCCATGGACGTTAAAAACCTATATTAAGAAATCCAAGAACTGACAATAATCAATTTTGGAGGACAAAGGATATTTCTGTCTGAAGACATTGCACCCAGTGGGAAAGCAGCTATATACCTTAACAACTCCAAAATGTTAGCTGTTTTCTAGAGCTAAACTAATTAATTTGTGGCTGTATGTGGTGGATGGATGGATGGATGGAAAGGAAGGAAGGAAATTCTGGTTTTTTATTTGCCTCGGTTTTCCTTTGCAATGTTATTCTTCAGTGGAGATTGTGAATATTAAATACTTTTCAGGAACCCTACCTTATTATGTTTGTGTTACTTGGATTTTGGACAAAGAAAGGTTAACTGATATCTTTGCAGCAAGTCTCCCTCATAGGAACTACTCAGAATGTTTTTCCCATAAAGAAATGGGGATTTTTTTAAAAAAAAAATACAATTTCTCTTTTGCACGAAACTGTTATGAAGTAGACCTTGAGGGCTTAGAGTAGCTTAGGGTGGGGCAGGATTACATTATGGGGCTTTTGCTGATTCTTGTCACCTTGTTTGC